TTTAATTCACTTGAAAAATTAGTTTTTAAAATTATATCTAATTTTATTGCACCATGGCATTTTTAAGCAAATTAAAGTACATAAGTTAGCCTTCTTATGTATAAAATAAGCTACCTAAACTAGCACATGTAATTTAAATTCAGTGATAACTGTAAAATAAGCCTCAAAGCCATTATTATACGTTCATTTGAATTGAGCTTACTACAAATGAGGAATGTTTAGAATTTTTTTTGCTAGGAAACCTTTCTGCTTAACTTTTTACAGTTGCAAGCAATTGAGTCTATTATTTAATGGTTATCAGACGGGCAGACTCTTCTTCTTAAAAACACTGCTACCTAGAATAAAATCTGTAATAAATTTTAATTAAATTCTATTTAAAAAAAGGGTTTAAAATATCATTCTTGAATATCGGACCGTATTCTTCAGAGAAAATAATAATTTATTTTTCTTAACTACTTTTTTTTATTAAGGAATGTATTATAGAAACCAATGTAAACATTATTTATGCGAATTTAAGAACATAAGAACGTCTTTTTCAGTTTTTAAGACAAAATTCAGAGAAAACGTTGGAAGTACAGACTTGTAGAATTCTTTCAACTGTGGAAAAAGTTGTTTTGTAAATAACTAGTTTGAAATCTTAAATTTCAACATAAAAGTCAATAAAACTATTTATGAAAACTTTCTTCAAAGGTTTTTTAAAATATCTTAGCTATTGTGAAACGGAAAGTTTACTCATGAAATGTAGAAAGTGAAAATAAAGTTCATGTAAGAGTACAATGTATTTAAAAAGTATAGCTTTCCTAGAAAATGACTGCTCAAGCTATGTAAGAAATAAAATAAATATCTTCAGTTTATCATAAATATCTAAGGAACAAATGAAGGTTTTTCTTACCTACTTTTCACATTAATTCTTTAGTGTTTTGTAATTTTGGAATATGAAGCTAGAATTTTCTTTAGCACAGTTTTTACAGACAAAATCGATGTTGAAATTTCAAACATTTTCTCAGACATTTTGAAGCTTCTTTGGAAAAGTTGGCTTATTGCTTGTTATCTTCAGATCCAGCATATATTTTATAACGTTGTAATCTATGTACATAAACTTCAGTTCGAACTAAGGCATGTTTTTCATGTTTCATGAAAATATGAGCATTTTTTTTATGAAATAACCCGGTTTTTTTAATTTTTTCCAATGCAGTGAAAATCTCTCAGATATTTCTTCGCAAGTAATATTTTGAGAAACTTCACTTTCAAAAGACAAAACCACCATTCAGAAAGAACAATTACTTGAAGCATCATAAATTATTTTTCAAGAAAAAAAAGATTATCTGATTCACCAATTTATCTCACCCATGAAAAATTAAAAACTCTTATTTTTGAAGTTTTGTTTGCGTGTTGAAGTTTGAAAATTATCAGTGGATATCTGGTTTAAAAGAGAATAGACTAAATATTACCTATGATAAACGCCACCAGATAATATTTTACAATAATCCAATATGGATTAGTATAAAATTATTTAAAAAATAAAATAGAAAAGTAATGGAATGTTGATATTCATTCAGCTCAGAATTTATAAAGGTAGTGCTTTGCAAGTTTTCTTTAATTAAAAAATTATCTCATCGCAACTATAAATGGACCTATTTCGAATATCCTATATTAAACATCATTATTGCACGTTAATTTATTTTATGATTTTATTGATTCAACATTAATTTTTTTTTAATTTCAAAACCTAATCCCAATAGCTGTTTAAAAAAAGCAGCATAAAGTGCCAGAATAGGATGCTCTTTTAATATTAAGGAAAGGAAATTTAAAGCGATTTAAATTAAGTAAATATTATATAAACACAAATGAATTTGCTATTATTTTTCAGGCATATTATTGTACGTATTTTATTACGTTACGCTTGATATTCATTTATTCTGTACACTTTGGACTAACCATAACATAATGTGCATCAGTAGCGTAGAAGTTTTTAAAGCCCATATGATTAAATATATTCATTATTTTGAGAAGTTCAACTCAACTGCTCAAACGATTTAATAATTTTTAGTAAAACAATAAAAATAAAATAAAATAAAATAAGCAACTTAAAACAAAAATTGAATGCCTTCATAATAATTATAAAATTATTTTTAAATACATTTCATTTTAAGGCTAAAACGAATAAAATTTCAATTAAAGAAAAAAAAATTGATTTAATTTTATTAGCTGTGATAAAAAACAGTTGTTATAAAGTAATTTAATAACTTTCTAAACTAACAATCAATTTAAACTAATTTTTTTTCTCATGCAAATTTTTATCTTAATTGATATTATTGAAATATGTCATAAATATAATCGATATCACTGATATATAAATATAATACGTTGTAGTAGATATCACTAAAATATATAATGCTTTAGCTTTAATTTTAAAGAGTAAGAATATGCAAAAAATTTAGCTCTTGTTTGAGTTATAACTATTCAAGAAATAAAACCCATTGATTTTCCATAATATTAGGTTTCATTAATCATAATATCAATTTATTGCCTTATTTCTTTAAGCCATATGTAATATATAATAATAAGCAATATATAATAATAAGCAATAAGTAATAATAAGCAATACATAACAATAAGCAATACATAATAATGAAGAGTGTTATATCTTTTTATTTAATATTATTAATAACATATTTTATTTTTACGGATCAAATTTTTGACTTTTTAAGTACATTTCACTGTGCTTAGCACTATAGTTTAATTGTTAATTGCTTAAGATTAACTAGAGGATTTTTAACTAGTAAAATATTTACTAATTATTAAATTGCCTAATTAGTTTAAAAAGTTGAATAATTATGTTAATTTCTATTGGATGTTAAGTACATGTCTAAAAAATACTTATATGTAATGATAAAAGTATTGTGTAAATAGTTTCTTAAAAACAGTTTTTTAATTATTATTAATTATTAATTATAACAAATTTTAANGTAAATTTGTCAAAAAAGACATTTTGATAAAAATGACATTTACTACTTTTTCATTGCAAATTTTACTTCTGAACAAATATTTCTTGTTTTTAATATAAATACCTATAAATATTGTCTAATGAAATAGTTTAATAATTATATACTTCAAATTTCTTTAAAGAAATTAACAAAATATTTAACTAATTTAAAATTAATTTTAAACTAAACTAATTTTAACAGTTACCTACATTCAAAAAAAGGTAAACAAAGGGGTGTGGTCAAAACTGAAATGGTCATAACTTCATCAGTTTTGCTCTTATTCCAGAATTTTTTTTTTTAAATGTTCAGTTAAATGCCAAGATTTCAGAAATATAAAATGTAAAATATCGATTTTTTGACAAATTTTTGCTTCTTTGAAAGTCCCTTGTCACCTTGTAAATATTATATAAACACAAATGAATTTGCTTATTATTTTTTGGGCATATTATTGTATGTATTTTATTACGTTGCGTTTGTTATTTATCTATTCTGTGCACTTTGGACTAACCATAATATAATCGTGCATCAGTAGAGTAGAAGTTTTTAAGCCTATATGATTAAATATATTAATTATTTTGAGAAGTTTAACTCAACTGGTCAAACAATTTAATAATTTTTAGTAAAACAATAAAAAATAAATAAAATAAAATGAGCAAATTAAAACAAAATTTGAATGTTTCATAATAATTATAAAATTATTTTTAAATGCATTTCATTTTAAGGATAAAACGGATAAAATTTCAATCAAAGAAAAAAATTGTGATTTGTTTTTATTAGTTGTGATAAAATACAGTTGTTAAAAATTAATTTAATAAGATTATGCAAAGCAGAACTTTAAAACTAACAAACAATTCAAACTAATTTTTTTTCGCAAACAAGTTTTTATCTTAATTGATATTATTGAAATATGTCATATATATAATCGATATCACTGATATATAAATATAATATGTTGTGGTAGATATCACTAAAATATATAATGCTTTAGCTTTAATTTTAAAGAGCAAGAATACGCAAAAAATTTAGCTCTTGTTTGAGTAATGACTAATCCAAGAAATAAAACCCATTAATTTCTCGTAATATTTGGTTTTATTGATCATAATATCAATTTATAGCCTAATTTCTTTAAGCCATATGTAATATATAATAATAAGCAATATATAATAATAAGCAATACATAATAATAAAGAGTGTTCTATCGTTTTTTAATATTATTAATAACATATTTTATTTTTACAGATCAAATTTTTGACTTTTTAAGTATATTTCACTGTGCTTAGCTCTATAGTTTAATTGTTAATTGTTTAAGATTAACTAGAAGATTTTTAATTAGTAAAATATTTACTAATTATTAAATTGCCTAATTAGTATAAAAAGTTTAATAATTGTGTTAATTTCTATTGGATGTTAAGTCTAAACAATACTTATATGTAAAGATAAAAGCATTGTGTAAATGGTTTCTTAAAAGTAATATTTTTTATTATATATTTTTTTTCAATTTAAAAATTAAATATGTTTACAAATTTTATTAAAAGATAAAGATATTTTTAAAAAAGATAAAAATTGATAATTGCTATAACTGGTTGATTATTGTTTACAGGTAAAACAATCCCTGCGGTAAAATTATGAATTTAATAAAAACAAGTTAAGTAACGCATATTAAAAATAAATTTAGTGTCAAAAGATTAGAATAAAATAGTGCCTTTAAAATATTAGTGATGCGATAAAACAAATCACAATAAAGCAGAACTTTTTTCAAACAAAAATCATATAACAATACCAAATTTCTAAAATTTCTCTTAATACTGTTTTGTTTTTTATGATTTAATTTCTTGGAGTACAATACTTGAAGTTTTATTTTTTTTAATACACAGTCTTTAAACTTATTAAAATTAATTGTTGATTACTTAAATGCACTAACATTAATTTATGATTAAAATCAGATAAGAAAATATATGATTTTAATATTAATGACATATAGTATCAGATAAGAATATATCAAGATTGACTTACCGCTGCTTATAATACCAAAAAGTATTGTAACATAAAAATTATGAAGTCCATAATATTGACAGAAGGATTCAAGGATCATATTGGAGGAGGATTCTTGTTGATTTTCAAAATCCAATTTAATGTCTTTGTGTCATAATTGTATCCAAACAAAAGTACACTCTTAGTTATTATCATGAATAATCATATGTTGATCGTAAAACTGAACTTGCAAGTTTATCATTCTTTATTACGTTTTACAGAAATTTTTTTTTACAAGTTCACAATTTTGATGTTATGAATATTATAATAATTAAAAACAGCTATTTTTAACAATTTCAATTTTGATAGTTCATTTTTTATTATGGGATAATTTAATTTTGAATTTTTGTTTTTAAGTTTGTAACTGTCATCAAAATGCTTACAAATATTCAAATTTCATAAAAAAATTATTTAATAAATCTTCATATTAGTTAAAAAACTAAGTAGCTAACCATGAGATTTATTATTTAGAATCATTTAAAACTTTTTCAAACTTGCGCATGTAAAACTGGGAAAATTCTGGAAGAAATTGCGGCTTTCTTTATTCTTTTCTTACGTTACGGAGTGCGAAAACAAATGCTGAAGAATTTATCCGAGTGGTTCGATAGCGCAGGATAAGTGGTGAATTCGGAAGATGCACGTGCTTATATGTTCATCGTCTGAAAGATGGCGTCTGCGCAATGGAATTCCAAAACGATATTTTACTTTGATCAATGTTTTCACTGTGGTTTCAATTGTTTCATGCAGATTGCTTAATTTAAGTCCTTTATATTTATAGTATTTTAATATGAGTTCACTGTGTGTTTCTGATTTAACCCATATTTTTAAACTAAAAAAGTTAGAAGTAGAATATGTACTATGAATCAGTAAATCATGAATGAGTATTGGTTTCAGCAAATTTAACTAAACTTAACTTGCTATTTTAACTGTTGATTTTTACTCATAATTTTAAACTATCTGGTACAAATGCAAAAGCTTAAATAATTATTCTAACTTCAGTAAATATTTTAACTAATATATATTACTTCTCATTTCACAAATTTATGAAAGAATTATTTTTTTTAGATATTAATTAATCAATTCGTTTTTTTGTTACATTCATTTCTTTTATTCAAAATTTTTAAATTTGTTTTATTTTTAGAATTAACTTAATATTAATTAATTAGAATTAATATATTAATAGATAGAATAATAGATAGAATAATAGATTAATATATTGAATNTATATATATATATATTATTTTACTTTTTTCGTTAAATTGCAAGCATAAACTCTTTACTGCATAGATAAAAAAAATGTATGCCATAAGTGGTCATAATTATTAATATATTCGAAATTAAATTACGTAAGGTACAAATAATTTATCTTTAAACTAATTGCATAATAACAATCAATCTAGGGTAGAGAGGGGTTAGCGTGAAAAAAATGAAATATTACTGTTATTTATCACTCAAAAAATCATCTCAAAAAATTATGGCAGACTGGTGAAACTGCAATACTCCTTCATATGTAGTTTCAATACGTAACTCCAAATGGCTATGTAGTAAATAAGCAAATAAGATTTTATAAGGTGGAAGAGTAATTTCTAAATTTTGTTTCAATTGCAACTCTAGATTTTTTATTCTTTGCTTTTATAAATATGAGTTATTATGCTATAGATGACTATACTAATTACAAATTTTAAAAGTGATTATTGAAATGCCTTTCTTTAAATAACAGATTAACATTATAGAATAATTAATATTTATAGAACTAGTGATTACACGACGCTTGTATGGACACACAATTGTGAGGTTAGTATGGAGTTTTAGAGGTAGTGAAATTACCATAATTTTATCAGTAATTTCTTTAATGTCATCAGGATTTAAAAATACCACTTTATTGTTAAGAGATCCAGCAGCACGCATGTCATTACAAATAAGATTTCGTTGCTTGTAACGAAAGTAAAAGTAAAAAGTGCGTACATTTACTTGTACTTCATTACTTTTTAAATTTAGTACTTTAAATAATCTTTTGTAGCTTTATTTTTGAAAAAGTACAAGTACTTACAAGGAAAATGTCGGAAGAAATCGTTACTTGTTTCTGAAATTTTTTAAAAATATTCCTAAAAAAACTCTTTTTTTTTAAATCAATTATTTTTTTAATGCACAAATTTATTGTATTATATATTCTTCAACACATAATTTATTCTTCCAAACACCTTTAATAATTGCATTTTCCTGAAAGAGAGAGGACGGCCCCTTTAAACACTCAATGATGCTTTTGAGAAAGTTATAAATAAATTATCGAAATAAACAATGATGAAATATTCCAATAGTATCGAAACAAGCATTTTCTATTTTCGGTGCTGTAATGGAATTATTCAACTCTAAAGGTTCCAAAGAAACAGTTTGAGAATGAAAAAATGTGCATTTAAACATGGTAAATTAATAATTCATGTCTAATATTTTCAGAAAGTTTGTGTATCCAAACTTTAAGTATTTGGAGACAATAATTATTCTGACAACGGTGCACCATCTACTTTGACGCCATGTCCTGAATGAATTATCTCTGTGTGTATGTGAATTTTGGTAGCTTAAATCCATAAATGATGTTTTCTTTCTGGAAATATTTCTTAGTAGGGATAAGAAATACAAGGTTTGGAAAAGCAAACTATTGATGGTCTTATGAATTCGAATTGGTGGTGGTATCATTTTTCTTTCACCAATTCAAGGTATCTTTGTCTTATTGAAGTATTTGGACCTTTTATTACGCACGAAGCTCTTAACTGATTAGTATAGGTTGAGGTTCCGTGTTCATGTCGTGTAGTTTAGTTTGATTTGAGACAAAGAACGGGAGAAGAGTACCTTGCAAAAAGAAGGTAATATTAAAAAATTTAAATGTTTTCCATTTAAAAAAGACCTTAATTCATTTATTAATTTTGGCAGGCAATATTTTTGTCAACCACAGGTGTGTTTTGTTTTAAATAATTTCAGTGTATTATTTGATGTTACTGAACAAAACAATTTTCGCATAAAATTTAAACTTTTTTAGCATTTAAGTTTCAAGTTATAAAAATTGTGACTCGTTTAATTACAATGCAGTATGTATAAAAAGTAAGCTTTAGAGTAAGCTATTTCATTGATTTTGAATGAAATATTTTCTTTCTGAGCTAAATGTTTATTTGTGAGGGGATTTAATACAAAATATCTATGACAAAAATTTAAAAAAAAGCAATTTTTAAAATTCAAGAATTATTTTTTTTTTAATTTTATAAAAACGAACTTTAAGTTTCGATATCACGGGTTTCAAGGCATTACCTGGATAGAAATACAAATTTCTGATTTTTTTTACTTATTTTTTTAAGCAAAAATTATAATGCTTATCAAATTTGATCAGCAAATTAATGCAAATTCCGATAGTAAAACAAAATTTCTAACGATTTTGCAGTTCTAAAATGAACATTAATTAAATCTCTTCTTTATATACACACATTACATTTTGAATTCTGGTTTGGTTTTTGGATATTTTTAACGTTCTCTATTTTATTGAATTTTGTAGCATTTTTATGTATTTTAAAGTTTATACATTTAAATTTAATGTATTTCAAATTTAAAAAGTATTTTTCTTGTATTTTTTTAATGAAATTTAAGGTTACTTTTGATTTCCTCGATATGTACTTAAGCGTTTCTCTTTTTTTCGTTTTTGACTCCTACTTTTACTTGTATCGTTACTTCTTAAAACCAATTTTTTTTACTCATTACTTTTGCTTAAAGTATTTGTACTTTTAATCGCTACTTTTTAAATGTAACATTCCTATGTATGTCTAGTAGTCCCCAGTTGACACCCAGGCATATTTTGTAAAATATATAATGTAACGAATAACGAAACAAAATTATGATCAGTGGTGATCATAAAATTATTCAATAATCGAATTTTATGTTATTTTCGTTATCAATATTAAAAGATTTCTAAGAACTTTAGGGAACTTTGATAAAATGTTTACATTTGATGAATTTTGGAATCCTACAATTTTACATTAGAATCCTCGAATGTAAAATTGTATATTTCTACAGCTTGGAATTGTAGATTCCTATTGTATTTGTAGCGTCAGTGTAATAAAAATTATACTAAAAAAGTATGGTTGGAACTACCAGAATATTGTAAAATTTACTATGCTTCTAGCTCTATGGTTACACCAAAAAGCTCGGTAATTTTTACCAAAGATTTTTGGTAATGATTTCGGAAAAATTGAGAATAAAATATGATTTTATAATATGTGATAAAATTCAGCGCATTTGGTAAAATTTGGAATATTTATCGTGATGCTAAAGAGCATAGTATATAAATCACTTATTCTCTTAAAATTACTTTTGACTTCGAATTTTTTACTAAATGTGAGATAATAAGACTATATTTTTAAAAAGTGGAATTTCTGGCAAATCATTTCCATGTGAATGAAAAAATTACCAAAGGAGCGGTATAAATAGCTTAAATTTTGTTTTTATTAACCAGAATTATGAAACACAAATATCATTACTATAGGTACAGTAATTTTACCACAATTTTTTTTCTCTCCGTGTCAGAAATTTTGCTTGATTTGGCTATTGCTTAAAAACTTCCTCGTACCATTATTATATTTGTTTTCATTGTTTAAATATCGTAGTGCCAAATCATTGGAAATAAATTTTATTATACCAAAAAGGAAGTATTAAGGAATAAAATTTGTTATCATCTTGAGTGGTCAAAGAAATAATCCATCGCTTCAATTCGAAAAGTTGGAATGTAAGTTTTATTAAACATTACATTACACTAACATTAATTACTATTAAAACTTTTAAGATTACTTAATCGATATTATATTTGTTGAACAAAATTAGTTCCATTTTGATTTTACTTGTTCTTTTTTTTGTAATTAACAATAGTTTAAACAGTAAGTTTTAAAACATGTCCACTCTTGTCCCATGACATGTGTACGCTAGCTTCCCGTCATGGGCTAGTGTAGACTTGTCAACAACATTTTTTTGGAAAAAGGATTATTAAAAAACTATGTTTCCAAATTAGTTTATATATCATTCAAAATTAATATAATTGAAGACTACGGGGAATGGTTTATATTCATTAAAGCTGGTTCGGAAAAAAAAATTTGCCTGCGAAAAAGGATAGATTTTTTAGGGAACGGTCTATCTTTACTGGGTAATAACTCTAGGGGAGAATGATTATTGAATTGTCAAAACTCAGCAATTCTCAATGCACAGAGAGCGATCATATCATCATATTTGGGGAAAATGTGTATAAACAGCTCTACCCCCTTCATGTTCAATTGCTTAATTTTCAGTGATTTTTAAGATTTGTTTAAAAAAATGATTAATATGCTTTTTCGGAGTTTTGTACAAACTGTCCCCATTAGTTTACTCTCCCCTGTACATATATATTCTTATATTTTGATTATTGGTTTTTTTGTTTCTTAATTTGCATGAAGCTAAATAATGAATGAAAGAAAAATGCTTCGTTTATTTGCTAAAATTTCAGCATACTTTAGAGTTTTTTTGAAAATTTCCCAGCAATTTTAATATTATTATTATTTGAAATCGAATCGAATACGTCACAATGACGACAGGTAATTGAAAATTC